CGGTCCCCTTCCTATCGTTACGAGGACGACCGGCTTCCAACGCCAAGCAGCCCAGAGCTGAAGCATCCTGAGCAAGGAGGCACCAAGGCCGGAGCAAACGTGTCCAAGGGAAGACGTGTCCTCCGTTCCCACTACGCAGCGAGCTGAAACCTCCAGCTCCGTAGGGCCCGGCTGGGGGCAGGCCTGTGCCCAGCAGGTAAGAAGTAGCGCGGGTAAGAACAGTGCTTGCGGGAAGGCTGGGTGTCTGAGCGCCGCTTTGGAGCAGCGTGTGTCTGGGGAGGGGAGGGGAGGGAACAAACAGCAGGTTCAGAGAGTCATAACATCAGAGGGCAGAGCCCCAGAGGGTCCCGTTTCTGCCCCACCCCCGGCCCGGCTCGGCGGGTGGTCAAGGCTAAAGACCGCACGGAGGCACGGCATGCGGCACAATCACACATTCCACCAGCGGCTGTTCTGCTCCGGCCGCACCGAGAGGTTTCTGTTCTGGGGAGAGCGCCGGTCCCATCGCACCAGGTCTGGGCCCACACCCGGAGGGGAAGGAGGAACAGCCAGCGTCCGTCAGAGCCCGGGCTGCTGGCCAGCGGTCCAAGGATAGGGCTTGCATCTTGCATCTCCTCTGCCTGCTTCCCCGGCAGCTCTTCCACGAGTCCAAGCTGGCTCCTACGCGAAGTGATGACTAACAAAACGTCCCCACCGATGCACGCACCGTGTGGCTGTGCCGCACGTGTCAGTAGGGGTAGCCCTTGCTGTACTGCTGGGGCGGGAGGCCCCCCAGGTCCTGGAGGTAAGCCGTGTTCTCGTCCAGGTGGGAGAGAGGGACGGTGTCCTCCTCGCTGATCTGCCGCTCAAACTCGGCTTTCAGGGCGGGCCGCTGATTGTCAGGGAAGGCCAGGGAGAAGAGCGCTTCCGGCTCGCACACAAATTTGTACACGTAGCGCTCGCCAGCCACCTGCAGGGAGACACGGCCAAGGCTGCAGTGTCTGTCCCACTCGCTCGGCAGGCAGCCAGCTGCCCCCGACCAGTGACGGCGTAAACGCCGACAGGCGGGCCCGAACCTGCGACCTCTGGAGCTCAGTGTGGACGCAGAGTGAGCTAAAGGCCTCTGCAGAGTGAGCTAAAAGCCAGTCGGCTCCCAGCTGAGGCTGGAAAGCCAACTTTGAGGCTATAGAGCAAACTCGTTCTCCTACTCTGTAAGCGGTCTCAATGTCCCTCCACGGCACAATGCCCCACACCCAGCAGCCGTGGGGGTCACACTCGCCCCATGGGCAGGGGAGTTGTTCAGTGGGGAAGGAGAGGGACCCCGCTGAGCTAGGAAAGGCTCTCGCGGCTCAGTGGGAGTTTTCACCACTTCATGGTGCGCTAGGGCCACTTGGAATAGCTGCAGGCCCAGTGATGCCATAACCTGCCGAGCAGGCTGGGGCTGTTGCTAGGCCAGGGGTGGGCAATAATTTTTTGCTGGGGGCCACTTCAGAAATTTTTGAAGTGGCCCCGGGCCACACAGGAAGGGGCGGGACATCAAGCTGAAGGGGCGGGGCCAAGACACGTCCGGGTTCCCTACTCCCAGCCAGTGATTGATCTGGGGGTGAGGGAGAGTCTTTGCCCCCCTCCCCACATTCCCCCTAGGTGCCCATGCCCCTGGCGTGGGAGGAGACTTCCCGCACTCCCCTGCCCCTAGGCCAATTAGGGCCTGGGGGGGGGGAATCGCGCGAAACTTCCTCCGCTCTGCCCCCGTCCTGTGAGCAGCGCACGGCGCTTCAAAGCGCCACGGGCGGTTGGCAGGGCGGGAGGAGGCTTCGTGTGCTCCCCCGCCCCCAAGCCCTAATTGGCCTGCAGGCCGGATTCAGCCCACGGAGGCTCTTTTGCCCACCCCCGGGCTGGGCACATGGAATCAGGGAGGGCCAAAAGAGCCTTTTCGCTGTCGGGATGGAGACCCGGGATGGAGACGAGAAGCAGGATTCCCCAGGGCTGATCTTCCATTGCTGGTATTGGGAGGTGACGGCGGAGGTGCCCGGCGCACAAGGGCAGGGGCCACCGTTAGCCTTTCTATAGCTCTAACGGCCTGGCCTTGCCGGCTCTCTCATGGGTGCCCTGAGCGTTGTTATTTCTGGGAGCGCCTGTGAGTGGGCAGGAAGAAACAGACCCTGCCCCGAGGGGGACACACTCTAGAGCTTTGGCCTCCCCCCAAAACTCTTCGCTTTGTCTGGCCTAGACAGGAATTCCCTGCTCCTGGCCTGGATAGGACTCCCCCTTGCTCCCCGGGGCAGGCATACATGGAGGAAGCGTGACACCCGCCCCCCCCCGGTGTCCAGATCCAGCTCCTTCACCCTGCCTCAGTGGGTTTCTTTGCTGCCTGCTCTGCGAATGGCAGGCCCCCCACAAGGCTGCAGGGAAAGAAGAAACCTCAGGACATCAGGGGGGTTCAAAACTGGCCAGGAGCCAGCCAGGGCCATCCGGAGGAGGGTGCAAGGCCTATGGCGACCCCCCCCCCC